GAATACTTCCCCGAGGACGTTGCAGGGCCCATAGCAAACAAGACACTCAAGCCCGACCAGCTGTCTTTCACCATTAAGGCCCTGCAGGCGACGCGGAAGGAGCTAGATTCTCTGCTTGGGTTGTTCCCGACAGAGCTCCGGGGGCGGCTCGCGGAAAACGTCGCCAACACGTGAAGTGGGTTAAGGGATAGTGCGAGGGATCATAAAACATAGCAGACAAGGCGCCAGGAACGAGCGGGATCGATCACCTTTTCAATTCCTTTCACTCCTGCCTCACTCACGCGATCCCAGGTCACGCGATCCCAGGACAAAGTAGCGGCCTGCGCCCTGCGTAAGCCCTCGTAATTACACGATACCTCGTAATGCAGATCTGACTTTTCCCTCTTAGCTGCCACACTATCAGTCTGAGTGAGCCTGGCCGAGACCATAAAATCTCTCTTGACCGCCCACCGGGCATCGCATGGATCATGCCGTCGACCTCTCTTCCGTCCCTCTCCCCCCCTCTCCTCACGGGCGCTTGCTCTGCCCATCCCAGTCGGAGCAACTCTCAGCTTCGATCATATTCACACGCGTGCAAAGACACATGAACAAATGCCGCATTGTCCGAATAGAGGGCTCGCACTCACGCTTTGACTGCACCTTATCCGGGCCTCGGCCAGGTAATCCTTCTCTTTCAATCCCCTTCCTCCTTCCCACACGTGTCGATATTTCCGGACGCCCAAGCCTCTTTCTGCAAGAAAGTTATCTCTCGCCTATGGATCTCTCCCTGTACACCCGTCCCCGCAACTATTCCTTCGTGCCAGCCCCCGACATCTGCACAACTCATCCCCCAACCGAGCTTCTCGAGCCCCGCACACCCCTCCGCAGCCACGCCCGCCGACTTTCATCCTCTAACACCACTTTCCTGCCCCAAAAAAGGGCGCGAACACACGGCAGGCGCATTCAGCACCGGCTTAGAGTTTGAAGGTGTTGAAATCCCGCACCTCATTCACAATCTCCAGTGCCTTTTGCAATAAGAGCTTCATCTCTTGAGCGTTCTTCCGCCGCATCGCCACGTCCGCCGTCTCCCGCATGCTCTCCCCGATCAGGTCGTCTCGGTACAGATTGGAGACCAGCTCGTTCTGCAGGTTGTCCTTGGCGTGGTTGACCAGGAAGTACATTATAGTCTTGGGCACCATGTCCATGAAGTTCTTCCGCACCACGTCGAAATAGCTCGCGGTCAACGCCTTTATGATCTCCGTCTCGATCTTCTCCCGGTCGTTCGGGCCGTCCCCGTACCGCATCACTTCCGGCACCTGCGGCAGCTTCACCACCGCCTCCCTCCCGCCCTCCCACGCTCCCTCCCTCCCTCCCACCACTCCAAACCGAACCCCGGTCCCTGCCCCTCCCTCTCGACCCGCCTGCGCCCGGGCGCCGAAGATGTACGACATGATCCCCCCGCCCTTGTCCCCCCCGCTCGTCGCTGCGGCCACCCCGTTCGCGACGCCGCCTCCCGCCGTGCTAGTGCCCCCCGTTCCCCCCCCCACGCCCGCCCCGCTACTCGCCCCCAGCCCCACCGTTCCGACCGTCCCGTCCTCCAGACCCGGCCCAAGGACCCGCCCGAGCGAACTCCCGCCCTCCTTCCTGGTCCCCCCGCCTCCCCCCTTCCCCCCCCCTCGCTCAGCCCCCGCCCGGGACTCCCTCTCTCCTCCCGGCCCCCCTCGCGCCCGCCCCCGCCCTTCTCCTGCGCCATCTTCTCCATCAACTGGGCCACAGCCCGCGAGCCCCCGATGAAGTCAGGGTGCGAGGTGTTAATGTAGGCTAGCTCGATATTGATCAGGTTCGAGATCATCATCTGGGTGGGGCCCACGCACTTGCGGAGCATGTGGTTCACCACCTCAACCACCCGGTCTCGGAGCTCCGGGAAGCGGGTCAGCTCCGTCGTCTCGCACTGCGCGGCCATGCGCAGGAGCTCATCGAAGACCAGGTCCACGCATTGGAGGCCGGGCTAGGGGGACGGGGGACCGGGCACGTTGAGGGGGGGAGAGCGGGGGCAAAAGGGGCACTGAGTGAGCAACAGGGACAAGAAGGCGCGTCCCACGTCTTCACCTTTCCCACGGCAAGCCCCTCTATCCCTCCCCTTGCCCTCCTACCTGCTCCAGGCGGGAGATCTGCCGCTTGACGAGCAGGTCGAAGCTGATCTCGGGCACGAAGAGGGCGGGCCGGGTCCCGTTCGCGTTGCAGATGGCCGTCCGAATCTCCTCGTCCGTCAGGGTGGCGAAGGGATCGATGCCCATGAGGGCCTTCCCGAAGATCTCGCTGAAGATGTAGTTGATCCTGGCCCCCCCGTATAGCTCCAGGGTCTCCGCCCCCCCCACACCCCCGCCCTCCCGGCCCGCGGCGAAGCTGCCGCGGCCCTCCACGGCGCTCTGGAAGGTGGAGGCGAAGCGAGACAAGAGCCCGAGCATGGTGCCGCCTAGCGTGGCGCGCGAGAGTTCCGTGGTGGGCTCTCCCAGCGCCTCGAGTTCCCTGCCCACGTCCATGGTCATCGCCTGGATGCGGCTCTTGATCTCGGGGAGGCAGTCTCTGTGGGGGGGGTCGTATTACCATGAGCAAGCGGCCGAGGCCTGAATCCCCTCGTCCCCACCCCCACGGTCGGTCCACCTCCCTCCCTCCCCCCCTCCCTCTCCCCCCCCCCCCTTCCCCCCGCCTCACCGGATGTGGTGCATAAGGATGTTGTTGAGCATGCGCGTAAGGGTCGGGGTCGTGCACTGCTTGAGCATGGACCGGTACACGGGGTGGGCCTTGAAGAAGCCTGCCTCCTTCCGGAGCGCCTCCCGAATTGTCAGATTGCTGTCGATGTCCCGCTGGCCCCGATTCACGACCGCCACGTAGCCGATGCGGAGAGGAATGACGCGGTTCAAGAGCACGTCCGCCGCGTCCGTGCCTGAAGGGGGGAGGGGGTGAGACAGGGGGCGGGGACAGAGAAAGCCGGCCCGGGCACTCACCAGGGTCCATCAAGTCCATCTTTGTCAAGACGCCGATTGTCCGCAGCCCGTCAGGATCCACCTCGCGGGCCAGCTTCAAGGAGTCGGAATTGGCGATGTCTGGAGCGGCGGCAAAGAGAGGCGCGTGAGCAGGCCCGTCACCGAGCCCGGCCTTTCCCCCCTCCCTCCCTCATCTTCCCCGTTCGCGATCCCTCTCCCCGACTCCGTCCAGCCCTTTCCCCCTCCACCCAGACAATCCCGAGGGCGCCCGCCCCTCCTACCTGTGTTGGCGGCCGTCACTGCCAGGATGATGGAGTTGGGGTTTCCGATGTAGGCGAGGCACATGGCGCGGATCTGCGACTCGATGTCCGCGGGCTGGTCACCGACGGAGACTTTGGTGATCCCGGGCAGGTCCACCAGGGTCAAGTTGAGCACGTGGGGGGAGTAGATCTTCAGGTTGATACTCTTAGCGCTGATGCCCTTGTTCTTCCCCGTCAGCCTGTCCGTCTCCCTCTTGATCTCGTCCCGGATCTCCATAAAATCGTAGAAGCGCTCGCCCGCCCGGTGCAAGAACTCGCCCCACTCCTTCCCCTCCGGGATGCCCTCCCTCCCGCCCTCCCGCCCTCCCTCGTCCTCTCCCCCACCGCGTAGAAAGGCGGTGTTGTAGAGCTGCAGGATCAGGGGCCGACGGGTGACAATTCCGGTCCCGCGAGGCAGGAAGTCGCGACCCACTGGTGGAGAGAAGCGAGAAGTGCGACACAGGGTATGAGTAATCCGACCATGGCACGGCCAGGCCCTAGACCCTCCCTTCGATCTTGTCCCTCATGGCCCCTCCCATCCTGGTGCTCCCCGCCCTCCCTCTCACCGATATGCTCCAGGACGGAGCTCTTCCCCGAGGACTGGCTCCCAATGACCACAATCTGGGGAAGGTCCAGGGGATGCTTCCCGATGGCGGCGAAGACATCTTGGAGCTTGTTTACGATTGGAATGAGCTGCTGCATGCCTCGGTCGTGAAGGGAGGACGTGATGTTGGCCGCGGAGACAGAGGAGGTTGAAGGCGGGGCGGCAGCTCCTCCTGCGGCCATATTGCTGTGTTGTTTAGGCTGGAAACGTTTGCCGCTGCTGCTGTTGCTGCCAGTGCTGCCGCTAGTACTGTTGCTGATGCTAGTGCTATCAGCCTTCGGGGGCTTGGCTAGACGGGGGGAGGGCCCTGCTTCGGTGGCGCCCGCTAGAAATAGTATTTTAAAGTGGAAAGCTGTGTAAGGCCTGTGATCAAACCCGACCGGCACACTGCGTGCTTTAATCGCACGAGACAAACATAGAGGGCAGTTTATGCGGGGTATAGTGGAAAAAAGAAAAGGGAGGGAGGAGCGAACGCGAGCGAACAAACACTTGCCAGGAACCATTTCCCGGGCACTCGCGCTTCACAACCATCTCGTACTATACAGGAACCAATTTCGATGTGATGGTGTATGATGACTGCGCGGAACAGTGCGTGGAGAGATGACAGAAAATAGGGCGGGAACGTGACCTCTCCAAGAGAGTCGATGAGGTCCACTGGGTTAAAAAACCCACACACTGAATAAACTTACGTCCAAGTCCACGGCTTAAATCAAGTGACGCCACGGCTGCTGTGCTTTGTAGTGCCACTGTTGTGATACTTATGCGAGTAAGAGTGCAGGTAAAGGTAAGTCTTCCGATTGTGCGGCGATGTTGAAATGGAGAAGCGTCTCGATGGGCCTGAGGAGGAAGACGGAGGGGAACTGGTTGCTTCAATAATAGAGGCACTGACGCCAGGAGGCTCTCGAATATGCTCTCGAAACCACGATTCAAGTGTGCCGTGGGTAGATGTGCTAAGGCGAGGCTTCGACAAGGTTTTTTCTCCTCTGGAAAGCAGCCTGCAGCTGTCTAGGTGACCTCCCGCCCAGTCCAGCCCAGCCTCAGGAGTTACCGAGTTGGAACTAGAATTTCCTTCAAATCGGCTTGGCGCCCCAATTGTCGGTCTTCAGTGAGCTAATTTTGTCCTCTCAATCAAACAGGTGGCTTTCGCTGTACTTATGTCCGCGCACGCTCCCCACGGACCCCCTCGTCAACGCAATACGCTCCTTCTGCAATCCATTGCAGTCCTGATACTAGCACGTACGCTATATGCCTTTGTTTCGCCCACTGTACCATCGCGCAGATCCGTCGAGAGTCTAGTCGCACACAGAGTTGTCCCAGTGCTCCTTGCCCGAGTGGGCGGTGGCTTTGGGTTTGGGAAAAAGAAAACATTGGCATCCGAGGTGGACGACCTGAAGTACTTTGAAGGCACCATTTATTCCCCTTATCCTGGACGTCGCCCTCTCCCTCCTTTCGAAAGCACACCTTGTGCTTGCGGCTCGGACAAATCCTACGGCCAGTGTTGCTTCCCCTTGCACAAGGGAGAGGACAGGGCCAGCACTCCGGAGGCACTCCTGCGCTCGCGCTATTCTGCCTACGTTCACGGCTTTCCCAGATATCTGCTGGCCACGACACATCCCTCGTCCGCTCCCATGCGACCTAAGCGACTGAAGGCTTATTTGGAACTTTTGGAGATTGCCTGCTCGGAAGAGAATTTGAAGCAACTCCAAATAGGGGTGCAGGAGGCCGGGGCGACGGAAGAGGAGGCTTTCATAACTTTTAGGGTGAAAAGACACGTGTGGATGAGCGAACGGAGCAAATTTTTGAGAGGCGAGGACGGAGGCTGGTTATTTTTGGACGAACAAGTCTAAGCGTCAGGATGTACAGTCACCCAATCAAATATCTGCCGCACGCCCCCCGCCCGTGGGGACTGACAATGCTGAAGAGGCTAGGAAAAGCAGGAGAAGACGAAATTTTGAGATTTCCTGAGATGTAAGCACACAAAAAGCAAAGTCGATCGGGCCTGTACTTGCCCCCCCGTATCGCTTTATCAGTTCTGTGGCACCCCACCGTGTCCCACCGCGACCCCTTTAATGCCCCCTCGCCACGTCACTCCTGAGGCAACACACCGCCCTTGCAAGATCCACCCCAGTCCACCCCAGTCCACCTCCTGCTCCACTCGTCCGCCTCACCATGAGCCTCTCACCCCCAAGACCTGTCGGCAGCCTCGGCGTGTGGCGGCTATCCTGCCCCACCACCCTGCCCGAACCCCCTCCTCCCCCCTCCCCCCACCGCCGCCAGAAGTCACGCCTCACGTTCTTTTCATTTGCACCCATTCCATTAGAAGGAGCGCCGGTCAACCGACTCTCCTCCCGCCTCTCCCCCCCTTCTCCTGCCCCGCTTGGAACACAGTCATCCCTTCCTCCCTACTACCCTCCTTCCCTCCCTCTCTCGCCCCCTTCATTCCCTCCTCAACCTCCTACTTGTCCTTCCCGTTCTGCACCGGCTCCCCGTCTACTTTTCTCTTAGCCCCCCGGCCCCCCTCTCCCTCCGCCTGCGGCGTGAACCCCTCCACGTAGGCACTCTCGTGCACAGCGGCCACGGCTCGCCCGCTGGGGTCCGCGCGTCCCCTGAAGGAGGCGTCCCACTCCATGGCCCTGGGCGTCGAGCACGCGATCGAGGGCCCGCCTGGGACTGTGGCCGCGGCGGAGGGGGAGGGGAAGAAGCGGTCGAAGATGTCGCGGTAGTAGTAGGCCTCCTTGGTGAGCGGCGTGTTGTAGGGGAACCGGTTCTCGGCGGCGCTGAACACCTGAACAAGAGACAAATGGCAAGGAAGAGAGTCGAGCGGTTGAGTGACGTGGAGCGCGCCGCTTTCATCCCTATTCCTCCTACTGTCTGTCCATGCGCCCGTCGCCTCCCCCACCCTCCCCCTCCCTCCCTCCCTCCCCCTCCCCCCACCTTGTCCGAGACGTCGGCATTTGCGTGGTCGCGCAAGGCGTCGATCCAACCGTAGCCCACCCCGTCGCTGAACTGCTCCTTCTGTCGCCACAAGATCTTGGCGGGCAAATAGGGGTCGGCGGGATCATCGAAGGCTTTCCGCAGGATCCATTTCTCCATCCGCCGCCCCTCTCCGTCTTTGACGATCATCTTATCCTCTGGGTTGATGGTCATGGCCACGTCCAGAAAGTCCTGGTCCAAGAAAGGGACGCGCACCTCCACGCCCCAGGCCGAGGTGGCCTTGTTGGCTCGGAGGCAGTCGTACTGGAAGAGCCCTCGCAGCTTGTCCACAGTCTCGGCGTGGAATTCCTGAGCCGACCAGGGAAAGGGAGGGAGGAAGGGGTTAGTCGTTTTCCATTGGGAAGGCTCGCGCTCCACAGGTCGTCAATTCGGTCCGAGCGACCTCAGTATTTCTGCCTCCGACGCGAGCCAAAGGACAAGCAGGCGGGTGGGGGGACTCTCACCTTGCTGTCTGGCGCCTTGTGGAAGTACAGGTACCCCCCGAAGATCTCGTCCGCGCCCTCCCCCGAGAGCACCATCTTCACGCCCCGGGCCTTGATCTTCCGGCTCATCAGGAACATGGGCGTGGCGGCCCGGACAGTGGTCACGTCGTAAGTCTCCAGGTGGTAGATCACCTCCCGCACCGCGTCCATGCCCTCCTGCACGGTGAACACGTAGGAGTGGTGAACGGTCCCCACGAACTTGGCCACCTCCGCGGCCGCGGCCAGGTCCGGGGAGTTCTCGAGCCCAATGGAGAAGGAGTGCAGGCGGGGCCACTCGTTGTTCGGGTCTCGGCGGGAGAGGCGGGAGGCGATGGAGGCGACAAGGGAGGAGTCCAGGCCCCCCGAGAGGAGCACCCCCCAGGGCACGTCCGACATCATCCGGCGTTTCACGGCCATCTCGAATGCGTTGCGGATATTCAGGAGCTCCACTCGCTCCGTCGGGAGGTAGGTGGAGTCGTACCAGACGGGGTTGTACCACTGGACGAAGCCCCCCTTCCCCTCAAGCTCGCTGTCGTAGGCGTGGCCGGGGGGAAAGACATCCACGCGCGCGACCACGTCGGTGAGCGCCTTCATTTCACTCGCGAACCAGATGGAACCGTCCGCCCCGTAGCCTGCGTACAGGGGCGTGATGCCCATGTGGTCGCGGAGGACGAAGAAGGAGTCGTCCCGGCGGTCGTACAGGACGAAAGAGAACATACCGCGAAGGAAGCGAGGGAAATCGCGCCCGTGCTTCAAATAGAGGGGGATGATGACCTCGCAATCGGAGCCTGTCTTGGGCGGGTAGAAGTCGATGCCGCCTAGCTCCTCGTAGAGCTCCTTGTAATTGTAGATCTCACCATTGGCGGCCACGATGACTGGGGGTGGAGAAAGGAAAGAGAGGGAACGCGGGGCTCCATCTGAGCATGGGCTACGATAAAAGACGAGCCACAACCCCCCTAAACCTGTCCAGGAGACATGTCAGAGGGTACGTACTGTTGCCGTCCGGGCTGACCAAAGGCTGAGAGCCTGAGTCGGGATCGATGATGGCGAGACGTTCGTGCGCGATGGCGTTGCTCCCGTAGACCTGGATTATAGAGACCATGGGTAGCCAGGGATGAGCTAAGAATCAGAAGTGCATCTTGGTGGGGGAGTAAGTTACGTGTTGCAAGAAAAAGCCAGATGGATGGTAGTATGTGAAGCTAGAGGGGACGTCGCACCTTGTAGCCGCTCCAGTCGGGGCCTCTGTGTCGCAGTCTATACGCGTATAGGTGGAGGGAAGGCCAGAAGCCAGATCATAAGCGAACTCTACAATTCGTCACTCAGGCTTGGCCGCCCTCGCACCTACACAACCGTAGCAAAAGAAACAATGCAGCATCACGGATCAGTCCCTCCCCCCCCCAACCCGCCCGATTTCCTTTCCTCCACTTCTCAACCCGAGAAAGCATCCCGGAAACCATGACCCACTTTCCACGCCCTGCACCGTCTTACTTGAGCGCATTCTGAATCATAATCTTCCGGAGATCAGCCTCCGAGAGGGAGGAGCGGAAGATGGCCAAGATCCCACACATGACCAAGTCGAGCCGAGCTGCTGCGAGGTCGGATGATGGAGCAAAGGGGCTCAAACAGAGGTAACAAAGGATCTAGAAGACGAGCCTAAGGCTGCTTTTATAAAAGATAAATCCAATTTTGCCTGTGTGGACGTATTAGGAAAAAGGATTAGCCATTAAAAGGCAGGGTTGATGGCGATGGACAGGTTGAACACAGGAGGACGTTACGATACGTCCTAACAAAGAGCTCTACCCTAAATATGCATGGATTTCTGTCGCATCGAGCTCATGTAGTAAACGATTTGGGATTTCATCTTGCATCTTGCGTGGAAAGTTTGGTGAAAGATAGGAGTGGAGGCGGCGGCTCATGCGTTTATTCCCGACCTAGGGAAGAAGGGGGGTGGATGGAGGACGGGCGGGGAGGTCGCCGGGAGCGGTCCTAAGACGCATGTTCCTTCTATGTCCTTAAATTTGGTTTGGCTATTGTTCACGTCCAGCTCTTGACTCGGATCTTCTTGCACGTGCTTGTCTTTCATGGTGATTTGTCCTGTATGGTATCGCTCTTTCCGTTTGACAAAGTTTTGACGACGCCCACGCGTCCTTACAGCATCAGCCCGAGGCCGGCTTCCAACAAGATCAACGGAGTCACGGGACAACAACCTTTATCTGGCAGCAGCCAGAATTAATAAATGTGTGCGTACTCAAAGTCCTCCTCTTCACACGGCTTGGAGGGGAACAAAACCTGTCTATCAGCATCATGGTCAGCGCGTATACTGTTTTTAGGTAAGCATTTGATCAAACATGTAATCGAGTGTTTTGCCGTACTTTGTTGGCAGAGAAGATATTCAATTGCTAAACTGAAACGGGATATGGAAAGGTTATGAGAGTGGCATTTGAAAAATAGTTGACTGGTTTGACAAGCGTCATTGGTGCCTAAATGGAATGGATGTAAGAGATTGGGGGAAAATACTGCGGAATGGAACGGCGGGGGAGCAAGCGGAGCATGTAAACCGGAGAGTGGTTTCAAAATGTCATCCGGCTTTCGTGAAACCCTAGTCTTGAAATTGTTCCGGAAAGGCGGGTTCGAGAGGCAAGCGCTGTTATCCTTCCTACGCTTGCCTATGAAATCTTCCCGTACCTCTTTCCCCTTCGACAGCCACCACTGTCCTTGCTTCCCACGCCTTCATCCAGCCCAGCCCATTCAGCCCATGCCCCTGTACCCTTTCCACTGCCTCGTCCCTCCCTGGGACTACTGTGGCCCCCAGTGCCCGTTGCCCCCCCGGCCCCAAGCGAAGAGACGCCCTGAGCAGCCTGCGGCCTCAGGAAATGGACATGGACGCAGGCGGTCCAGGCGCAGGGAGCGACTTATCCATTTTAAATCAAGTGATGTTGGTGGGACGCTTAGGTAGCGAGCCAGCGGTGAAGTACCTGGAGAGTGGAAATTGCGTTCTCTCCATCTCGATGGCCGTCAACCGGGAGACAAGCCCAGGACGGCAGAACATGGAAGCCGTGCCAAAGGCGCCGGAGGTGGATTGGATTCGATTGGAAGCCTGGGGAAGGACGGCAGAGGGCATGGCCGCGAATGCAAGGAAGGGCTCCAGGGTGTGGGTGGTCGGGAGATTGGTGACGAACAGCTGGGTGGACAGGTACGGCCAGAACAGGAATGACCTGAAAGTGCGCATCAGGCGGATAGAGGTCCTCCAATCAGGCAGGAGCCAGACACAGCCTCCCATGGGGGGCGAGTACTATCAGCAGGGGGGTGGATGGGACGGAAAGGGAGCAGGAGGCCGCGAGGAGCAGTCTTCCATGGTGATGCCAGATTATCTTGCAAGCGGAATGGATGGTGGACAGGAGCAATCTCCATATTCTCGAAATGGTGCCGGCGCACCTTCTCCAGTGGCGTCACCGTTTACGAAGAAGGGGTCTTACGGGCATGGAGGAGGAACCGGAGGAGGGGGGCAATTTGAAGTGGACGAGTATGAGGCAGATACAGACATCCCTTTCTAGTAAGGGCTGCTTTCGAATGTAAAGCAT